CGCCGGCTCCCTCAGGGCCCGCAGCTCACCGTGATTTACCGCATCATTGTCTTGATGGTGGACGCTTAGGTTTTCTCTATTTTCCACTGTCAGAAATGATGTTTGACTGGCATCCTTCTTGTACAGACATTCCTGTGATCTTGTATGAGTATTCCTTTAGTTAAGTCTTCTGGAAATTTAGTCCCTTAATGTGACATTTACATTCATCACAGGCTCCTTTCAAGTGACTCTAGGAATTCCTTCTCCAGTGGGGAATGAAAAGATGTAGAATTACTTATGTAACCAATTCTCTATTGCTGGATATAATTTCACTTCAGCTTTTCCTCCCACCATTGTAAACAGTGCTGTGTAAATTCCCTGATGAGTACATCTTTTGGAGCTGATTTCTTTTATTCTAAAGGAAACGATTCCTAGAAGTGGAGTTGAGTCTGTGTGTACGCACGTTTTTTAGAGTTTACATATTCATTGACATGTCGTCCTCCAAAAAGTTCGCTTACAGTTTGTTCTACCACAGATGGACACTAGCTAGAATACCTTTTACAAATATTTGCCAATATGATGAGCAAAAAGTGCTCTTCAATGTTTTAGTTGCATTTGATGACCAGTGAGGTACTGAACATTTTTCACTCATTAGCCACTTGACTTTTTAAAATGAATGATTCCTTTTGTTCTTTGCATACAGTTAAGTGAGGGAGCATCTTGTTGCTTTGTGGCAGCTTTTTGTATGTTATGAACATTAACTTCTTGTCTTCATCAATACGTGTCACAGAGATTTTTCTTGTCATTTCTTGCCTTTCATTTTGTTCAGTCGGTTTATTATTTTTGTTGTGGCCCAAAATATTCTTAAGATAGTAAATGTCTTCCTAATGGGTTTTATCTATGGCATTATTCTTAGAGATACTTTCTTATAATGGAATAAATCTCTTCTGTAGGTTTTTTAATCTCTAAGATGGAGATGATAATAGTACTTGTTATACTGAGGTTAAGTTGAGTTAATATGTGTAAAGTGTTGTATTTACTGTTATTATTACTTTTTAATATTTACATCACTATCTGTAATTTCTCTTGTGGTCATTATGACTGGAATAGAATTTATTCTTTCCAGGTGATTCTCTGATTGTCCCAGGACAATTATTGAATTCATATTTTTCTCTTTGATTTGAAAGCCCACGTGTACAAAATACTTTTGTACACTAGAGTCTCTTTTTGAGCTCATGGTTCCTTTCTGTCAAACTTCCTTTCTTATTCCAGCACCATATCTTACATGTAGTAAAAATTTATTTAATGTTTGACAGTGTGATTTTTTTTTTTTTATTCCTTTCCTTCCATCCCAAATTTTCTTGGCCAGTATTATCACTTTATTATTCCTGAAGAATTTAAAAATATTTTGCTCAAGTTAAAAGAAAATTAGATAAGAGTTTTCATGGGATTTATTAATAAATTTTGAATTATCTTTAGGATGACTTATATCTTTACAAAACTGCTTTCCTCCATGCAATATGTTGATGTCTCAACATTTATACCTCTTACTTTACCCTTCAGTACAGTCCTGTAGTTTTCTTCATTTAGAACATGGACATAATTTTTTAGTTTATTCCAGATTATTATGTTTTTGTTAATTTTGTGAGAATATTTTGCTATTGTATTTTCTAACTGCTTAAAACTGACACCTAGGAAGGCAGATTCGGTTTTTAAATACTCACTTTGTAACGTCATTTAAAATTGGAAATATTAAGTACTTATTCCAGAATCATTTCTAATCTGTGTTTAAAAGTTTGTTTCCAATATTATCAAAATGGTCATAGCTAAGTAGTATAGGTGGGGAAACACATGGAGAGAGGTAGTGTGGCTCATTTACAAACTGTAAGCAGTTTCATGGCTGCCTTTAGGCTGGAGAGGCCCCAGAAGAACCCAGGTTAGACCAGGGGTGGCTTTGTATGCACTTGAAAGCCAGCTTTCCTGCCTTTGTTGTGAAGTCTGGTGGGCGTGGCAGGTAGATGATCAAGGTCCGATGGAGGTCATTGGCTGCACAGAGCGCTGTGTCTGTGAGAACTGGCGACCACTGCCATGGGAAATGCTTGGTGCCAGGAACACTGCAGGGGAGCTGGGGAGCCTGTGTGTTAAGGATTTTCCAGTCCTGGGAGTGGGAAGATCAGACTCTGCATTCAGATCTGTTTGAATTCATCCTCTCTTTTTTACTGGTCCTCTGACTTTTGTCAAGTTATATACCCTCTTTGAACTCCTGTTTTCTTGTCTCTAAAAACAGGAAAATTACAGCCTGCTGCTAGAGTGTTTGTTCAGGGTAAATGATTTGTGTCTGTAAGATGCCACGTACAGTCACAAGCTCAGTAAGAAATGGGCTGTTGCTACTTCTGCAACTCAGTGCTTGACAAGACATTGGGGGAAAGCCAGTTCCTAATTTGTATGTAATGCAAGTAGGAACAAAATTAATGCTTTGCCTTTCTCTAGCAGCATTCTTACTCCTTTGCTTCATTTACCTCTTTCCTCCTTTCCTTTCCCCTCCTCCACCAAAAGATCCTGAGACTCTCTCAGAACACTAGATGCAAATTACTTTAAAGGTTGGCTCACCCGTTGAAATGGCAGTGACATAAAAAATATCTGTTCACATCCCAGACTTGACTGTATTTGATTTACACACACACACACACACACACACACACACACACACATCAGGCTACCTCCCACTTGCTGAGGGAGAAGGACCACTTTTTCTGAGTTTTCATTCACTGAGCGTGAGAGCAAAGTCTCTTAAGCAGACTTTTTCCTGGCTTCAGGCATGGTTTTTTATTGGATTTCTCTGTGGCCATAGAATTATTCTCCTATTAGAAGACAGGAAGTGGAGACATAGAGATTCTGCTGAGACAACGGTGTCATCATATTTGAGTTGGAAAGGACTTAAGACAGCATAGAGTCGAAACTTTTTATGGGTGAGAATCCATGATGGTGTAACTTGGACAAGAACCTGGGTCTCCTGCCATTGTGTCCACGCGGGTGAAGAGGCAACTGGGTGGGGGATGGCAGGGATCCTCCTTGCTTGAGTTTCAGGGTCTTGCTAGTTTTCATTGCTCAGCTGCTTTTAGTTTATGTCCATGTGGCCTCTCATGGGAAGGTCACTCTGTCCTGGTAGATTGAGTTTCTTATCAGCAAAAAGCTCTGGACCTAGTTACATTTCCCAGAGTTTTACTGCTGACCTGCTGACACTTTATGTAAATGAGACCTTAGAAAACTACTGAATATAAAATCCTTCTTGTTATCATTTGCCCTGGAGTTCCAAAGGAATGCGGTGCTGTCTCAGGCAGTCTAAGGCTAGATCTGATCAAAGATAGGGCGATAGGCTGTGCTGCTGGACCATCACAAGTGGAATGAGATTTCCACCTTAGTTTTTAGAATCAGGCAGACGAGTTAAATCTTGCCTTTACCAGTTACTAGTTTTGTGACTTTGAGGAAGAAAATTTACTTTTTTGTGTCCAATTTTCTTTATCTGTAAATAAGTTCAGTATTTATTTTAGTGTTTTTTTTTAGAAATGAATTAGCTAATTCCCTCATTTATATCTAAAATACTGATCGCGTGGGTCTATACTGGTGCCTTGGTATTTGATTCCTAAGGGAGTTGGCAATGAAATAGTGGTGTGGGCCCCTGGATCATAGAGAATATATTCCACGATATGCCTGTAAAAGACTGGATGTGCAGTGGATTTTTAGTAAATGTCCATTCTTTTCCTAATCCCCATTGATTGTATATATATTTATACTAATATATGAACCATTTTTGTTGCAATTTAAATCTCTTTGTAGTATTTGAAATACGTAGCTATAACAAAAATACGTGAAATAAAATGATTTGATTTTTATTTTCCTTTCAATAAGAAAAACAAAAGAAAATAGTAAAGAAGGAAAGTTTTGAAGGACTAGAAATAATTTTATTTCCATAGAATCATGTCTCCATATTGTTTTTTCATTTTGTTGTTAATTGGCATGTAAAATTAATAGGTTGTGACTTCCGTGTTGATAGCTAGGTGAGTTTCTTGTTATTGTGTCTTTGATGAATTATTTGCACTAGATTATAAATGATGTGCATGCTACATATTGGAAATGAGGAAGAAATGGAGACATACTACCTCCAATATATTTTGTTACCGAGTCCAAACTCGTTCTGCTTGCCGCATGACAGGCCAATAAATTGTGAGATGCGGTGTTGAGGCAAGGAATAGTGACTTTATTTGAAAAGCTGGCAAAAAAAAAAAAAAAAAAAAAAAGCTGGCAGACCCAGAAGATGTCAGACTGATTTCCTGGAGAACCCTCTTCCCCAAGTCAGAATTCAGGCTTCTTTTATACTGCAAATGGGAGGGGGTGTGGTTGGTAGTTGCAAACTTCTTGCTGTACCAATTGTTTGTCCTTGGAATCCTTTGTTCTTGCAGCTGTCCATGTGGGTCAAATCATGGTGCCCCTGTAAAACCTACAACAAAACAAAGGTTATTCTTTATTTTGCAACTTGAAACTCTCTACATAAGTGCAGAAGAGCTAACATCCTTAAAGATCAAAGCCCGGAGAATATGCTCTCCTGTATATTTCAGGCTGAAGTCAACTTTCTTTCATGAAAGGTGCAGAGCTAGCAAGTCTGAGCCTAGAATACAGGGCACAGGATTAAAGCCAAAGGAACAGATCGAACACGGAGTCAGATTTCTTCTTCCCTATTACAATTTCTTTTTCCATCTCATGAACAATTTTAGTAAGAAACATAAGCAATTTTGTATTTTTGCTTCTTAATAACCTATAAGTGGGCTGACTACATTTTTGTGAGCAGGGATGCTGTGTGGGCCTTGGGATCTCAGCAAAATCTTGTTGAGGGTGGTTGACCCCGCAACATGTCTAATGCTCCCAGGAGTGTTGGTGAGGGTCCCCCCAGCCTGGGGCTCTATTCAGGAACCAGCGTATGGGAATTGACCTCTGTAGACCTCTTTTTCGGATGCAGGAAATTTTTTCAGATACTGTGATTGAAAAATCACTCCAGCTGGGGATAATTAGGGAAAAAAGGAAGAGGAAAAGGGCTTGGAGTAGAGTAGAAGAGAAATGAAGAAGATCAGGGAGCCTGGGGGCTTGGCAGCGTGGCCTAGGGAGAGAGGGGAGCAGAGGTGTGGAGACGCCCGGCTCCGGAACCAGCTCCTGCACCTGTCCCCGCACCCAAGCCACACAGCTTTTAATTGGCCTGGGCCACTCTCCTGGCTGGATGTCACCCTGGGCAGAACCTGGAGAACTGAAGTTGACAGGTAGGCAGCACTCACCAAGGGGGTCACTGAGGACTTTGTTCAAGTCCACAGTGCCTTTTCTGGTCATGTGTTTTCACTTGCCCTTTATCTCAGGATCTGAGGAGCAGGAGCAAGGAACTCAGGGAGAGATCCAGGAAGACATCCGACATTGTTAAGAGAGGGCAGACACAGTGACAGGGGAAGCGAGGACTATCGCAGCAAAGTAAAATGATTTCACAACTATTGCATCAGACCTGCAGGTGTGAGAGAGCCTAAGCCTGTCTGAGTGCAGGGGACAAGTGGAAAGGAATGGTAAAATTTCCACTGGCAATTGAAATTTTGTAAAATAGCCGGCTACTTTTGGTTGTATCAATTGAATGAATGCAGGTGTATTTCTGTGGGCATTTATAGGTTCACTCAACCCCACCAGCCCCTCTTGCCCCCATCAGGGGTGGGTTTTCTCAAGCACAGTGCCCCTCCTGCTTTGGGGAGCCACGCTGCGGGTCCTCGCCTGGGGCGGGGCTGCTGCAGGATACTGAGTCCCCGAGGCACAGCCTGGGAGACACGACAGGAACAGCTCTGCTCTTGACTGAGGGCCTCCTTTTCCCCCTGCAGTGTAAGAATGCCTGTGGCTGAGTTAGAAGCATGCATCCAAGCCGTTCTTCCGTGTCATCACCATCTGGAAGGGGAACCTGAATCTTCTCAATTTCTCCAGAATGTGGTTTACAATCACCTTTGACAAGTGGGTGTGTATCCTCTTACAAGTGGAGGTTTTACTGCCGTTTTCCTGGAACTTACTCACAAGTATTCCATCTGATTTTTCTGTGCTAGGATTCAGTATGGTCTGCTAAAAATTCTAGAGTCAGATCTTGAAACCCTGATAAAGAGGATTATTTTATTTCTTTATATGATAGACTTTTACTTTCAAAATTCAGAATTTTCTGTTCTTTCACTTTTTAGGGGCGGTTTGGAGAAACAACTTTGCTCTTACCGTCCTTGCGACCTGTTGCTTTATGCCTCTAACCCGTCTTCTGTCACTTTTTAGGCGGTTAAATTTGTGACCCTTTCCAGGTTGTTCATATTATAAAACATAAAGTCTGTGAAAGTACAGTTCCTTTTATTCCGAAAGCATTCCACAGATACCACTGAAATCTGGGTGTGGTTTTTAAGAAGACAGAATTATTAGAACATGTACTTGCAGGTTGCTAGTGCAAAATCCCCAAATCAAAAGTCTAGCTAAATATCTAACATCTTTCTAATCTACCTTGGATTTGTATGGATGAGTGAAGCAGTTTGCTAAGAACACAAGACCAAGGTTAGAATACAGGCAGATGTAGCTCAGCAGGTCCTCCCGAGCTGGCGCTGTGCCAGAGGGTGGAGCCGAGGGGAGAGGGCGGGTTCTACCCTCCCTGAGCTGATAGTTTCATGGCAAAGATCTTCACCAGGTGAAGAACTTGGAGATTCTTCTAAGAACAGTGGGTTTAAGAAGAGTCTTAAAAGCATGGGAGTGACAGAATCCCATTTGAGTCAACTAGGGAAGAGCAGCTGGGGGGCCACTGGGAGACTCATGAGTCCATGTGGGAAGTTTTGGTGGCTTCCTTCTGAGAATTGGGATGGTCAGTGGGAAAAACGAACAGATTGAAGACATGTTAGATGGTAAAATGAAAGGATGAATGATGTCTGTGAGGGTAGGATGGAGTAAGGCCAGGTTTTTTGGGTGGATTAATACGGTAAATGATGGTCCTGCTGTGCTCTGAGGAGGGAAAGCTTCAGAGGGAGTTCTGGGGGAAAACTGATGAATTCAGCTGTGGATAAAATGAAAGGCTGTTAGATGTGTGGTCTGGGAGCTCAGGTGAGAGCCAGTAGTGAGTAGGGGGAGGGGAGAGAGACCTTCAAATCATTTAGTCTTGTGAATATACAAAAAAAGTGTGAGTAATACACTTACGCCTCTATATTCTGGATTTAAAACACATTAACATTTTGCTATATTGACTGCAGAGTTTCTTAATTCTTTTAATACAAATAAATAGAAGCAAAATAGTGGAGTTAATGAAAATCTTTGAGTTGATGTGTGTCCTTGTATGTATTTTGATACCTCATCTGTTTATAACCATAATCTATTAAAAGTTAACTAGTTTAGCATAAGAGTTAAACAGAGGGACGTGACACACATTGTTGGGGTTTGAAGCTGATCTTCTCGGACAAATTATGTAGCCTCTCTGTGCCTTAGTTGCATCTTCTGTGGCTGCCAACGGGCCCGTCATCACAACTGATTTCCTAGATTAGAAGATGGGAGGGAGGCTGCTGTAGGGAATGAGAAGTGGCAACTGCTAGGGACACTGAAGAGAGAGACAAAAACAGAATAAAGCCGATAAACTGAGTACAAATACCCTCAAAAGAGAAAGAATCCCGCAGTCTTTTGAGCGACTTAGCGTAAGGGAAACAAAACCACGTGGACCCAAACTTCTTGAGTATGTGAGTATTGTGGGTGGAAATGTGTCATCACAAAAGATTTGAGAAAAGGCGATTTGGCTTCCCTTGATGTTTCCGGCAAGGATGGACAGCAGAAGGGAAACCCACCCCCGCTTCAAAGTGAAAGCTGCTATTTTGTGTGAAACTTACCAAAGGTTGGAAACCAGCCATCAGCGGTGCTGGCAAGTGAACAGCCTTCTGGATTTGGTGGGGCACCTATTGTGACTTCCTGGTGACCTGCTGGCTGGGGGCTGGGAGATGGGCAGTAGGTTTGCCTGGTGACCCGGGCATAACCCTGGGCTCTGAAGCTGCTGGTCTGACTAGCAGACCTGGGCACATTCTTAATGGGGCAGCTCGGGATGTGGCCTGGGACACCTGCTATGCTGAGGGCGAGAGGTAGGCTCCCCTGAGGGGGTGTCCCTGCGGAGAGTGGAAACATCTTCCTGCAGGGGAGGAAGAGCCTCTGAGCAGGGGGCCGGATGCACAGGCATGACTGGCCTGAGCACGGAGGGTTCGGGGAGCCGGAAGTCATACAGTGGCCGGAGCAGCCTTTTCCCTGAGAAACTGGAGGGAAGAGATGCTGAAAAGGGAGGCTGCCGACAGACCCTGTGGTGGGTTATGAGTGACAGGAAAGGACTGGTCAGGCAGGCACAAGAAAACCCTGTGAGCATCCCTGATGGGGCGTCACGCCAAAAGGAGGAGCAGAGTTATAGACTATGCCACTTATTAGCTGTGTGACTTTGAGCAAGATCACCCCACCTCTCTATATATATCTTCATCTGTAAAGTGATGCAGTGACAAGCTCGTGTCATCAGAAGGCTTAGTTTAGCTCTGATTCTCTGTGTCCAGTCCTGTCAGTGCTGCCCTGCAAGGCTCTGCAGCGGCTGCTCTTACCCTGAGATGGGAGGGCGTAGAGGGACACTTTAGCACACGAGGGCAGGAGGGGGGTGCTTTAAAAACCGACATGTAGCCGCCTGCAACTGCAGACCTGCAGGCAGTTTCGTTGACGGTTGTGGAGAGGACTTTGGAGGCCTTAGCATCA